TGCCTCCTTCCCCTGGCCAGGGCAGAAGCTGGACTGGAATCGATCCAGTGCCAAAGTGTCATCCGGGAAACTTGGGAGCTGCTTAGCTACTGCTCTCTCAATTACCTTACCCAGAAATGATAAGTTTGAGACTGGGCAGTAATTAGAGGGATCGGTAGGATCCAAGGATGATTTTCTTCAAGAGCGGTACCACCACAGCCTCTTTCAAACCTTCCGGGTAGACTCCTGTTTCCAGGGACAGATTGATAATGTCCATCAGTGGGCCCTGTATCCTCTCATCGCTGACTTTCACCAGCCATGAAGGACATGGATCAAAGAGGCATGTGGCAGGTTGTCCTAACAGCACCCAGAATCCTGTCAACATTGGCAAGGGAGAGACGGCTGAAGCTGTCAAAAACCGAATCCAAAGGCAGCCAAGGGGCCTTCAGTTCACATACTGTATCAACATTGGCGGGTAGGTCACAGTGGAGCGACAAGACTTTGTCCAGGAAAAAGCTCACAAATGCCGCACAGCTGAAGGCCAAATCACTAATTTTTTTATTCCTCTTCATGACGGATGTTAAGGCTCTAATTACCCTAAACAATTGTGCTGGGTGAGAGCTAGTGGACACAATGGAGGCTGAGCAGAATTCTCTCTTCGCAGCCTTCACGGCCACTGAAAAGTACTGGGTTCGCCGCATGGAGGACTCGGACGATGACATGCGGTTGCACACGTTTATTGAGTACTTCACATAAGACAACAACGGCCCTGCAAGGCCAACTATATACACACCCGGCCTAGCGCCTCCCACTCCATTGGAGGGTTTGAATTTCCCGCCCAGGAGCCTATTGGTCGGCTGGGAGGGAGCTAGGATCCAGAGTCCCCATTGTCTTGTGGAGCTAAGCTCCTCTCTTTCTTGCAGGCCCCTCGTGGAGACCTGCATACATAACACCCCTCCCCCCATAGTTCGGACACTACTTGGGTGACATAGTCCTGCAAATAGGCAGGGGGTTTACGTTCCCTGGTAGAGCGCCTAAGGGCCGGGGATGGGGCCGGTGCGGTGCCCGGTCTGGGGACGCCTGCCCCCGGCCCTGCTTGTCCTGCGGTGGCCCGTTCTTGCAGCTCCGGTGGCGGCGTTGCCGGCTCGACTGCTCCCGGGGTCAACCGTTCCTGCGAGGCTTCCTGTTTGCTCGGGGCTGCTGCAGTGTGACGGGATGACTTGGCCGCGACATTGGCTGCGTGCAAAGGGGGTTCTGGAAGGTCCTCAATGCTGAGGATGCTGAGCGCCGGGGCGGGGTCTTCCTCAGTGAACGGCAGTGGCAGCCGGCTCAGCGCTTGCCCGGCCGGTGCTCCAAGTGGTATTGATAGCCGGCCAGGAACAGGAGCCACCGGAGCCCCCGCGGCGACATCACCTGGGGCGTTCTTTTGTCGGATGCCAGCAGGCCCAGGAGGGGTTTGTGATCAGTGGCAATCGTGAAGGGGCGGCCATACACAAAATTATGAAAAAAATTTACTCCCGCCACGATCGCCAGCCCCTCCCGGTTGACCTGCGCATAGTTGCGCTCTGCGGCCGTTAGGGTCCGGGAGTAGTAGGCCACGGGCACCTCGCAGCCATTGGGTAGGACGTGCCCCAGCACAGCGCCGACTCCATATGGGGATGCGTCGCACACCAGGACCACCGGAAGGGACTCATCGAAGTGGGCCAGCACGTCATTCGAGATCAAGAGCGCCTTTACTCCCTTGAATGCTGCCACCTCCCTTGGGCCCCATGTCCACCGTGACGACTTATCCAAAAGCCGGTGTAAGGGCTCTGCCACCGCCGCCTTGTGGGGTAAAAAGGCGTGGTAAAACTTTATGAGTCCGAGGAACGCCTGCAGTTCAGCTTTGCAAGTGGGGGCAGGGGCTTCCACGATGGCCTTTACCTTGTCCTTCGTGGGATACAGGCCCGTCGTGTCGACCCGGAACCCCAGGAAATCGACCTCCGACACTCCGAGGAGGCACTTCTCGCGCTTCACCTTCAGGCCGGCCAAGTCGAAGCGTTGCAAGACTGTGCAGAGTCGGGAGGTGAAGTCGTCGGGGGAAGCCGCGGCGATCAAGACATCGTCGAAGAACAGCGTCACTCCAGGGATCCCTTTTAACAATGAGTCCATTAATTGTTGAAAGATCCCCGGGGCCATGCTTACTCCAAATTGCAGTCTGTTCACCCGGAAAGCCCCCGTGTGGGTGACTATTGTTTGCGCCATGGCTGTAGCCTCGTCTACCGGCAGTTGTTGGTAGGCTTGCGCGAGGTCTAGCTTCCCAAAAATCGTTGCGCCCGCCAGCGAAGCCAGGACATGACTCACAACCGGGACCGGATAAGCGTGGTCGCGGAGGGCCTTATTCAGAGTGCATTTATAGTCCGCGCAGATGCGGATCTCCCCACTGGGCTTTAGGGGCATGACTATAGGGGTTTCCCACTCTGCATGCGGTACAGGCTCAAGGACCCCCTGAGCCACCAATTTGTCCAGCTCCACATCGATTTTCGGTCGGATGGCGATGGGAGCCGTTTTTACCACATGCGGATGGGGGCTACCGAGGGGTCTAACTGTAGGGAGACCGGGGGTCCCTTGTAGCAACCCAGGGCCCCGTCGAACACGGCTGGGAATTCTTTGCAAATTTCTCCAAAGTCTCTCGGGGCACAGCTGTGTACCCCCCTGACTCCCACCGTGATGCCCAGAGGCTTGAACCAGGCCCTACCCAGCAGGCTGACCAGATTCCCCTCGACCACAACAAAGTCCAGTAGTCCAGTAAAGTCCCGGAACTGTACCCTGAACGTTCCCACCCCCCTGATTGTAACCGGGTTCCTCTGAAAGTCCACCAGGCTAAGGTTACGCCACCTAGCCCCCCCCTTAGGGCACAGCCGGCGTAGCGTGTCCACAGATATTATTGACGCCGCTGACCCTGAGTCCACTTCCATTTGGCAGGGGGCCCCTTTGATCCGGACGGTTAATTGTATCTTCGGGGTGCCCTCGGAATTAGGGAGGCGTAGTACCTGCTGGGATGGTTGGTCTTGGAGGAGGTAGAGTTCGGATGCCTCTGCAGACGTCCCATGAGTGGCGGTTGCCGGTCGGTGTTGCTGCGTCGGGAGCTGTTGGCGTCGGCTTCCTTTGGACCAGCAGACGCGTGATAGGTGTCCCTGCTTCCCACAAGTGTGGCACGTTGTGTCGCGGAATCTGCAGGACCAGCGCTCGTGCTCCTCACTGCAACTGGCGCACGTGGAGCGGCCAGCGGGTTTTCCGGGGCCGGAGCTGCCTGTCGCCTGTGGCTTGCAGCAGCCTGGCTCTTGGACGAGGCGGACGTCCGCCTCCTCGGAGTCCTTGGTGTCCCCGTCGGGGAGTACCTGATGCGCTGCCGTTGGTGGGTGGTGGGAGTCCTCGTGGGCGATCGCGAGTTGGAGGGCCGCCTCTAGCTTGATGTCGACGGTCCCAACCATTTTTCTCCGCAACTTGAGATCACTGAGGCCCCACGCAAACTGCGTCAGGAGGTTTTCCTCCACCTTGGTGAAGGTGCAGTCCATGGCCAGCTGGCGCAGGGCGGCCATGTAAGCTGAGGCCGACTCACCCGGTTTCTGCACGCGGCTCTGGAATGCCAGCCGCCTCGCGAGCGTCGTTGGCTGCGGCGTGAGGTACTTGGTGAGGGCCTCGATGATCTCCTCGTAGGAGCACTCCAGGATTGACCGGGCGCGAGGAGGCTTTTTGCGAGGTGGACCGTGGTCACTCCACAGGAACTCATAAGTAGGGCTCGTCTCTTGCCTGCATCGGTGACCTCGTTGTACTCTAGATGGCATGTCAGCTGGTCGGTCCATGAGTCCCAGAGCTCGGGATGTGCAGGATCGAAGGTCTCCAGGTTCCCTCGAGCGGAGGCCATGGCGTAGTGATAGCGCGGAGCATGGTTCCTCGTTGCGGTGCGTGATACAGTGCGGCTGGTGCGCGATGCGGGGCGCAGCATTGCAGGAATGGTGCTTTGCGTTGCGCTGTGATGCAAGCCAGGCCAGACTCAGCGGGATCCCATCCTCGTCGCCACTGAAAAGTACTGGGTTCGCCGCATGGAGGACTCGGACGATGACATGCGGTTGCACACGTTTATTGAGTACTTCACATAAGACAACAACGGCCCTGCAAGGCCAACTATATACACACCTGGCCTAGTGCCTCCCACTCCATTGGAGGGTTTGAATTTCCCGCCCAGGAGCCTATTGGTCGGCTGGGAGGGAGCTAGGATCCAGGGTCCCCATTGTCTTGTGGAGCCAAGCTCCTCTCTTTCTTGCAGGCCCCTCGTGGAGACCTGCATACATAACAGCCACCTCATAGGATTTCATAAGCACCCTATAAGATGTTCTTGCAGCTTCATCGTGGGCACACTGCCAAACTCACTCAAGTCATCTAAGTTCCCATTTCATCCCCCTGGGTTCCATATTGTACCAGAGGGATGACCTTTGGTGTTAACGTAGAGGACGTTGAGGAGCAATTTCATCAATGGCTTCAGAGAGCTGGGGGTTCCAGTCCTCTATCAGCTCATCCAATGAGCCATCGGAAGGCATCAGAAATTGGTTCCATTAGTCTCCGCAAGGGAGCATAAATCAGCTTGTCGCGTAGACGAGGGGGGGGGAGGCACAACACCCAGACAGGCCTTCAGAACCAAGCGATCTGACCATGGCACTTCCTCCTTCGAAGCCAGATCCACCTCCATCCCCATACCAAAGATCAAATCCAGTGTATGGCCTGCTCAATGTGTGGGACCTGATACAAACTGGGAGAGCTCTAGTACTGCCATGGAAGACAGCCCCTTCTTCATTTATTGCTTAAATAAAGCAATATATTATATCCAGTGATGAAAATAGTCAGCATATGAAATGGAATTACTACTTTATAAAAAAAATTAAGGCTTGCAGCACAAATTCATCTAGACTGGATGAGCTTTCTTTACTGCAGTTACTGGCATGCAGTTTATCTGCTTTTCATTGGTTCCTTTGCTTTTACAGGTTTCCCTTATGAGAAAGTGGTACAGCGGGTCCTCTATCTGCAGGTCCTGGATTATGATCGATTCAGCCGTAATGATCCCATCGGGGAAGTCTCTCTTCCCCTCAACAAGCTGGACTTGACCCAGATGCAGACCTTCTGGAAAGAACTAAAGCCCTGCAGCGATGGAAGTGTAAGACACGTGTTGCTTTTAAACCAAGGGCTGTTCCCCAGGTCATAAAAGACCAACCTAGCATGGTGTATGTGTTAGGGGCTGGCCCTCTGACTATAGGAACTTATACCTAGCCTAGCCAGAGGATCTGAAGGCTTCTGTCACAGCTGTCTCCAGGACAGAAAGAGGAGTACTTCAGTCCTGATATGGACATCCTGCTTCTTTAAAGTAACTGTTTTGAGAGAGAACAAAGTTTGAGTCCAGTGGGGGCACCTTTAAGACCAACAAAGCTGTATTTAAAGTGTAAGCTTTCGTGTGCATGCACACTTCTCCAGACAAATTGGAATAAAATCTCCTCAAGGGCTACTTACAGGGGGGAAAGAGTGCTCTTGGAGGGGATTAGGAGAAGCAGGTTAATACATATAGACATACTCATGTGATTATCAGATAGCACGCCTTTTAGAGAAGGGACACAGCTCAGTGATTCAGTACAAGTTTTGCATGCAGACCATCCCAGGTTCAATTTCTGCACTTCCAGTTAAAGGACCAGGTAGCAGGTGATGAGAAAGTCCTGCCATAGACTCCAGAGAGCCTCTGCTAGTAAAAGTAGACAATATTGGCTAGATGGATACACTATATGGACTGGGTATAAAGCAGCTCTCTTTTTCGCTCTCTGTGTCTTACTCAGGAATGCCTATGTAAATAGCTAACTGTTTGTATGCACAACTGACTATTGATGGAAACGGTGAAATGCCTAAGGCACAAAATTCTTTGCTTCTAAAAATGGTGATCGCCTGGGTGGATAACAACGTTATTAGAATGTATAAAAGTGACAGCAAATGCTCCTAAACTATTATATATATTCTTGACGAGCATACAGATCTTGCCAATAATCGTGCCTTTCCCCAGAAAATGCTTTCCTTGCACACACATCACAACAAACGCATTTAAACTCCAACTGGATACATCACTGCTTGTTTCCGTGTTTGTGCCAGCCCCTTGCTCCTCCCTGCATGGAGCTTGATGCAAAATTTATCAGTTTGTTCAGTCCCTCAACAGGATGTTCAAAGAGAGGTGCCTGTGCAATTGGAACTTATTTCACACATGCTAGAATCAAAGCCCTGTTTAATCCCACTTTAGATGTTTGCTGTGTGGCAAATTCCAGACCAGGATTTATTTGCCATTTGTTGTGATATCTGAATTTGGGCTTTGTCCCCCAGTTTAATTCCAAAATGGCAGCATGGCCATGTCAGGTTCATTTCTGGTCCAGCTTCAATGTAACTATTTTTTTAGCATTTTCTTACCTTGGCCAGTGTCAAGACAAGTTTGATTTAAATCCTAATGTCAACCAGTGCTGGGTAATTATTTCCCATATTGAGTAGCTGGTCACAGAGTGAAAGTATATTTGAAGTAATGTTCTATGTAGAATGAGCGAAGCAGACTTGGCTCTGAATATTTTTAGGCTTATTTCAGTCCCTATTGTAAACATTGTTTGCATTGCTTGCAATGGGTATTAGTTATGAGCAATGTTAAAAGTCGTAGGAATTCCTCAAATCTCTGTCCCTTTCTTCTCTACAGGGAAGCCGAGGAGAGCTACTTCTGTCACTTTGCTACAACCCTTCTGCTAATTCTATTGTAGTGAATATTATAAAAGCTCGGAATCTTAAAGCCATGGACATTGGGGGAACATCAGGTATTCAATTTCAGGGCAGCCTTCTCTATAAAATGGCAGCTTGTGACTCTCATTTAAGTGAGCCAGAAATTACCCTTTTTTAAAGGTTTGGGCATTTATTGATTTCCAGTAAACTTGGCTGGGATCTATGCATAATCACAATCACTATGATGACCAGGGCCATTTACACATGGATTTTGTTCCATCTTTTATTTGATTTGTTCACAAAATTTCTGCTCTCATCAGGACCACCAAGACAGCTAACAGACTGAAAACGTAAGTAATAAAAACATATCTTAAAAACCATTAAAATCAACAAAAACACATCGTTAAAAAAATTAAAACTAAGTTAAAACACACACACAAAAACATAAAACAATTAAAACACAGGGCAGAAAGGAGGGATCACTAAGGGAACACCATATGAAACAAAAAAGTTATCGCCTGCTGATGGAAGGCAGCAACAGGAGGAGACAGAAGAGTCTCCTAGGGGAGGGAGTTCCAGAGGTTTGTTGTCATGGTTGAGAAGGCCCTCACAGGTTGTCACCCACCTAATCTCAGAAGGCAGGGGCACCCAAAGCAGGGCCTTCAAAGATGATCATAGTGGTTGGGTAGGTTTGTATGGGAGTAGGCGATCCTTTGAGTGTGCTAGTTACAAGCCATATAGGGCTTTAAAGATCAATGCCAGCACCTCAAATTGTGCCCGGAAACAGATTGGGAGCCAGTGTAGATGGGCCAAGACTGGAGTAATATCCCTATGATCCACTCCAGTTCACCTTGGCTTCCTTACAGCAGCACTGTTTTCAGGAGCATCCACATGGTTGAGAAGATCTTTTTAGAAAACTACCTCTCAAGCAGCCTTGTCTTGGAATGTGATCGTTCAAAAGTGTTGGAAACCATGGTTAAAGAACAAGCTGTTAGGGGCAAAACAGATAAGATGTTGGGAAATCTGTATTTTAAGGCTAATCACTGTTTTATGGGGGGGAACCCCTTCATATCAGGCTCACAGTGCTTGGGGGAAATCCCCCCATTTCCTTTTAAGGACTAATAATACCGCAGGGTGGGGGGTTAGATTTGATTTGCAAAACTGTGCAAATCAGAAGGGTTAAATCCCTTCTCTCCTTGTGCCATTGCTCCAAATCAAATTGAGGAGGATGCAGTAGCTATTAGCCATTTCAAAACACAGGGAAGATGTAATCATGGATTTCCCAACATCTTGTGTGTTATTGCTTAAATGTTCAGCCTGGAAGACTGCTGGTGTTACAAGCAAACAAACTCCAGAGTGCTTTTATCAGCCATGCAGCTGCTAGCTGTGACAGCCTGGCATGTCTCTAGCTGGTACAAGTGAAAGCAAAAACAAAGCAACAACACGAACCCTAATCTTGCATGATGTGAGAGAAACATGCATTTGAAACTGAGCACAATTCAGCTTCTCCTGCATCCATATTGCGTAATTTATAATAAATGGGTATTGACAAAAGTAATTGGGTAATTGTTTATATAATTGTCTAGTCCATTATCTATGTAAATATATTTGGTTTTAAAAGAAGTTGTGATAAAAATGAATCTCTGGAAATGGGATAGAACTCCCAATATGGAACAGACTGGAGCATGAGATTAATCTGGAATAAGCCTCCCCATTTTCCCACAAGGAGGGCAATTTAACAGCTTCATCTTTCTGTGTAAATAAAACCAAACCTCATTGTACTTTCTAAATTCATGTAAACCCTCTTCAGTTTAAAGGGACTGCTCAGTCGTTGGGGGGAGGTGTTTATTGCTTATTTGTGTTTTAAGTATTGAGTCTCAGTGCATTATGTTTTTACTTTTACTGTTAGCCAATGTTTTGTGGATGTGTCAGGCTGAAAAAAAGATAGAAATATCTTTAAATTTGATCTATCATTCAGGAAATCAAATTTATAGTTTGCAGGTTTGAAAGAGCTGCATACTGGAACTGCAATAATTTCAGGGACTCTTAGCCCTCCCACAGCTATTCATTTCCTATTTTCCTTTGCCAGACCCCTATGTGAAGGTGTGGTTGATGTACAAAGACAAGAGGGTGGAAAAAAAGAAGACAGTTGTGATGAAGCGGTGCCTGAACCCTGTCTTCAATGAGTCCTTCATCTTTGACATCCCCACAGAGAAACTGAGGGAGACAACCATTATCATCACTGTCATGGATAAGGACAAGCTCAGCCGGAATGATGTAATTGGAAAGGTGAGTTGTCCTAGTCAAGGAGATTACAAGATCATGTCCAAGTCCTTGTCAAAAGGGGTTAAATTGGTTAAGGCTGCAGGTCAATGAGCAGAAGGTGAGTGAACTCTATCAGCAGAGATGAACTCATGACAGAGGAGGGGGAAGGAAGTTATCAGGTGTTTATACAGCCAACTATGTAAAGAAACTTCTGCTGCCCCAGTTCAGTTGTGATGCTCTAGAGGTAGGGATGGGCACAAACCAGGAAAATGCAGTTTGGTTCATGGCTGAACCCTGAACCAAACTGGGAGGCTCGTGTACAAACCAAACCAGTTTGTGTGGTTCGTGTCCCTGCAAATCCCATTGAAATGAACCGCTGTGCCTTTAAACAGGGTTTGCAGAAAGCCTGAAAAACAGCTGAGTGGCGGGGAACAAATTGCTCCCCATGGCTCAGCTGTTTCAGGCTGTCTTGTGCAAAACTGCTCAAAAACAGCCGTGCATTGGGGAGGCACTCCCTGGCATGCAACTGTTTCAGACTGTCTTCTGCACTCCCTTTAAACTTAAAAAGAACTGCAGAGGACAGCCCAAAAAACAGCAGCCAGCAGAAAGGGGGTGATCTCCCAGGAAAGGATTTTCCTTCCATCTTTCTTCTGGCCACAGTGAGCCCCAGCTAGCAGAAAGGGAGGATCTTCTGGGAAGGTACTTCCCTTCCACCTTCCTGCTGGCCATGGTGAGCCCCAGCCAGCAGAAGGGGGGGGAATCTCCTGGGAGGGGACTTCCCTTCCATCTTTCTGCTGGCTGCATTGAGCTGAAAAGCAGGGATTAAATGGCTCTGAGCCATTTAAACCAAACAGCTGAGTGGTAGGGAGTTCCCTACAACTCAGCTGTTTCTTGTGAAGAGCACCAAAATTTGTGGTAGTTCATCCCAGTTCTTTAGTTCACAAACATGGGTTTGCAAACCCCAAACAGGCAAAAATTCATGACGAACTTTAGCTCATCAGCCGATTCAGGCCCATCTCTACTAACAGACATACAGGCAGCAATGACAACAATGGTGGTCATAGTTGCCCCAAGCAGTGGTCAAAAACAAACACATGGCCTTCTGCAGACTAAAAGTACGTGAATAGAAGCAAGTATTGTGGTCAGCTAGGATGCATTTTTGTTACCCTTAAAATGGAATGGTTTGATTCTAGAATTTGATCTCAAGACGGAAGTGAATTACTGACGGGGCATCAGTGGGGATTCTGCAGCTGTTTGCTCAGGAAGCTCTTCTGACATGGGAAGGAGGGCAATGAGCGGCAGGGATCTGTTTCGGTTCCTCCAGTCCTGTCCTCACGGGAAGCCAATGTTGCCTCATTCTGTCTGATATTGTGAGACGACTGTTAGGAAATGCTGTAGATTTTCATGGGGATCTGTCCCCACACCATTTTGTAATGTCCTTAGGAATAGAGAGATCAGCGCACCGTATGGGGAAAGTAGATGTGCTTGCGTATCAAGACTTGGGTTTAACATTCTCCTCTGTTCTTGTTCAACAGTACCCACAACACCTTGTTAGCAATACTATTCATTGGATAGCAGCATTAGATACATGACACTGTACAGAGTAACATTAGCAACAGGAGAGAGGGGACAAGAGAGTCCAGAGGATGTATGCGCATGTGTGTGTGTGTGTGTGTGTATATCATCTTTCCCTCTCTTTTTTATTTTTATATATATATAATAAAAAGATAATAAAATAATACAATATTTAAAAAGAGAGCGAATCCAGGGCAACCAGGGATGAATGTGAGCAGATGAGGCTTTATTTCACTTGTGGGGGTGAGGATTAAGAGGCGAAGCCAAAGGCCTTGCAAAAAAGATGATTTTTGAGACAAATTTGAAGGAAGAAAGCACTGGCACTACACAGGAATTCTGGGCAGGAGTTTCTGGGCTGCAGACAGAAGGCTTTCTAGTGCCTGAGGGCAGTACAGTCAGCAGAGAGACGGTCATGGCAGAAATAAGAACACAACAATGCGGGGGGGCGGGGGGGGCAAACAGGATGCATCTTTTCCCCCTGAAGTTTCAGTCCTCTTGTAAATGCTGGAAATTTCATACCAACCTAGAATGTTGAAAACCAAAAACTCTTTGTGAAGCATCTTTTTCTGTCTGAAGAATATACATGATGTGCAAGTGCATGTAACAAAACCCAAATCGCCTTTCAAGGAAAGACAAGAAGCTGCACTTTTGAGAGGAGGAGTGGCAGGTGGGGAGGGATGCTTAACCTCTCTCTTTCTGGCCGTTTTCCCACCCCCAGATAAGCTCGGGCTGCTTTCCCCCCCCCTCCCCTCCCCATAACACCTAGACCTCCTCAGGGGGAAATGCAGTTTTGGCAGGGGTGGTTCTGAGCAGAAAAGTATCCATCAGGGAAAACATCAAGCATCCCCTTTCTCACTCCCTCTGCCACTTTACTCAAAATTGCAGCCTCCTGAGAGTGACTTTTTTTTCTTCTTTTTTAAAGAAGTCAGGACTTCATTATGCATATTTGCATGGAAAACATAATTTACTCCTAAGGAAGACCAAATAGGATGTTTGTCCAATCTGTTTTGTTGCTTTCACTTTTGAGAAGTGGGGTGTGAATCACTCATTGGTCTCTAAAGGATGAGTAAGGATTCATGAGTGGCATCACCACCCAAAAGGGCAGGAGGAGAGCTGATGCAAAGTCGGATGAAGCTCCTGTACCTTGAACAGTTCATAGAGGTGCTGCGTGGCCATTGCAGCTTGTTATGTAGAAAAGCTGCACCTGGACAAATTTCCTCTTCAGCCTCACTCTTAAAAGCAGAGGAGCCACCTCATCCTTTGCATCCTGAACACACTGTTGAGAGGAGAAAGATGAGGCTTTGGGGTCAAAAACTTAAATGTGGGCCCCATGTTGCAAGTTGTTTGTGCCTTTCCAGGGTAATTACATAATCCTGTTAAAAACTAAATAAAACCTCAATACAATTTAAAAAATGGTGCCTCCAGTAACACTGCATGAGCTTACCAACTAAATGCTAACTTACTGCTCAGCCACACACAGTAAAGCCCTACTGACAAATTCAAGAGGAGGCCTGTTGAAACAGTACAGCCTTCAGGGCCTTTTGGAAGGCTGGGAGAGAAAGTGCTTTGCACTGTGCCTCCAGGAGCCCATTTTGTAAAATTGGAGCAATGAACAAAAAGGCAGAGGAACAGACAGTGGAAGTGCAGGCCTCACGGCAAGCAAGAGCTGCTGCACAGGCCAAGTGCCCCTGAAGCACAAAGGCATCTAGGGTGAGGCAGGCCTTCAGATATGTAGGTCATGCTTCAGGGTTTTAAAGGTAAGAAGCAGCACTTGGAAACGAATATGGACAACTAGGCAAGCACGGAAGGTATTTCAAAACTGGTATGATAAAGATACACCAACTGGTCCCAATCAAAGAGTGAGCAGCTACATTTTGTAGTGATTGAAGGTTCAGGTTGTCTTTGAGGGCAGCCCCAAGTAACCCATTCTAGAGGATATGGAAGAATAGGTCAATGTGGCCAGATCAAGGAAAGATAAGCGGGAGAAAGGCACACTTCACCAACCTCTGCCTCCGTTAACAAGTCCAAGAGCATTCCTAAGCTCTTAATATGGTCATCTAGTTTAAGATGCTGAGCTGCAGATCGGAAGGTCTGCATCTCTGCAGTTCGAGGCCCGAGTGCCACGTTCTGTGCGCCTCAGCGTTTAGTCATGCCGGCCACATGACCACAGAAATGCCTTCAGACAGCGCTGGCTCTTCGGCTTGGAAACAGAGATGAGCACCACCTCCTATAGTCAGACTTGACTAGCATTTGAGCAAGAGAAACCTTACTCAGTGTGGAATTAGTAAATCAGTTCCTTCCAGAATATTAGCTTTCCTAACTAACATCCAACTCCATATCATTTAAATACAGTTTCATCCTATTTCCCTTGTCTACTTAACCGAAGTGTCCAAGCATCAGTTTAAGACTGAGGTGGTTTGCATTTAGAGATTTAGGGCCGAACTACATGGTAAATTTCCCCACTTCCCTGGCCCAGGTGGATAGGCATATTCTGAAGTTCTGTGTTTCCTAAGTAGACAGGGAGGGCTGGTTTGGATCAGGACCACAGTGCACAAAGAGCTTAGGCCTCTCCTGTACCATTTTCCTGATCCAAAATTAATAGAGGGGGGGGTGATCCAACTACAGAGCTTTTTGGATGACGCTTCCATCTTAGACCCCTTCCAGTCCAGTTTTCATGCTGGTCACGGGATGGAGACAGCACTGTTCACCCTCACAGATGACCTTCGAAGGCATCTGGATCGAGGCGGATTGGTGGTGCTGTTGTTTTTGGACCTGTTGGCGGCGTTCGACATGGTCAACCATCAGTTACTGGTCCGCCGCCTTGCCGATGCAGGAGTCCAGGGGCCTGCCTTACAATGGCTCGCTTCCTTTCTCCAAGGTCGGGGACAAAGGGTGGCACTTGCAATGGTTCATCTCCTTTCTCCAAGGGACAAAGGGTGGTTCTTGGGGATCAACTGTCTGGAAGACACCCACTGACTTGAGGAGTGTCCCAAGAGGCGGGGGCAGTGCTTTCCCCGATGCTATTTAACATCTATATACGCCCCCTTGCCCAGATCGCCCAGACCATCAGTATGCTGATGACACCCAGCTCTATCTGATGTTGGGCAGCTGGTCCGACTCCAGACCAGAAGATCTTGACCGGGCATTACAAGCTGTGGCTGGTTGGCTTAGGCTGAGTCGGCTGAAACTGAATCCAATGAAGACGAAGGTCCTGTGCTTGAGTTGGGGCAGTTCAGGGGTAGGGATCCCACTCCTGACCTTTGATGGGACACTGTTGGTGCCAGCGCCGGAGGTTAGGAGTTTGGGAGGGCTCCTGGATTCCTCCTTAACAATGGAGGCCCAGGTAGCAGCCTCTGCCAAGTCCGCCTTTTACCATCTTCAGCTGATTAGGGAGCTGGTTCCCTTCCTCAACCACGCCGACCTAGCAACAGTGATCCATGCAATGGTCA